TTATTGGGATTAAATACTTAATTAATGAAAAGTTAAATTACAAGTTTTATAATTTTAAAATTATGTTTACATAAATATTTTAACATGTATTATATTTTTTGTAATTATTATATTTAATTGTTATATTGGACTATTGTCTATATCCTGAGTCTTACGACCTTGTAAAGGATTTTTGACATGTAAATAAATGAAATGAAAAATGAAATGGAGAATTATCCATAAGAGTAACAGACTAATTTCCAAAGACATGAATTTCGAAGGGGAAAATGATAATAATCAACTTTTGAATTTCTATTTAACATGTGAGAACTTTGAATTCTTCCTGTATAATGGTTCATTATTTCCACATTGCCTTAGAATCTATGTCCACTTAAAAATAGGAACTGGCCACTACTTCAACACATAAATATGTGTCATACTAACAGAGTGAAGGTGCATATGCATTAAGTTCCACTCATTCTCAAGGCTTGATGGGAATGATACTTTCACTCATTGTATGGAATGTACAGAAAATGGCACATGGAGCAAAAGTTCTAAATTCTACGGTAACAATAGTTTCATACTGATTCCATGGAAAATGAACCTGTTTCACTTGGAAATTAATACATATTGCAGTACTTAAAATTTGACATGGTTAGTTAATGTGAAGTGGGGATGAAGGTTTAAATAAAATAGTTTTTGTACAGAACTATCAGTCAGTTGGCATTAACACAACTTATTTAACTCTGTTTTAATTTATAAGCAAATATAAGGAATCACTGAAGGTCACAGTGCAAGGGCCGGATCTTATGTCCCCCCCCTCACACACACACACACACAAATATAAGGAAAGAAATACATAAAATACAACTATAAAATAAAATACCATACAACACAAGTCTAAAATACAAAATAAGTTCAATAGCAACATTGAAATCCTGGCCTTGCAACTACCTAACTCACCAACTGATAAAGGTTATATCAAGTGCAAGAAAAGTGGATTGAGGCATAAAATGTGGACAGAACTTGCAACAGAAGTTTCAACAGAAACATAAAGGATGGAGTACTGAAACAGATCCACTTTTTCTGTTTCTGTGTATGTGACGAGAATCATAATCAAACTGTCCTTCCCTGTACACTTAATAGACTTAAATGCTATGTATGTTCCAACAGGTTTTATTTATAATTCCAGAACAAGCATCACATCTGTATTAATTTTTCAATACATTTCATATGCAGGTGTAGGAGAAATACAAGGTCTGACAATAAAGTTCACGAACTCGCCACGGTGTGCTTGCCATGGTAGCAATGGACAGAAACCTCAGTATGGTTTGATAACGCTGGCATATCAGCGTTTCACAGCTGTGTTGTTGTTGTTGTTGTTGTTGGTCTAGGGCAGTCTCTTTCTGAGTGGCATCTACTATTGGCTGAGTGTCTTTTGGTGAGCAGTTACAAAAGGTCAGAAAGAACCATAAATTTCTTGTTACATTTGGCAAGAGTGGAAGTGAAATCAGAGAAGTGTTAGTGCAAGTTTACAGGGACGATGCTATGAAGGGAACAGCAGTTTACAAGTGGGTGACACGTTTTTCTGAGAGAAGAGGAAGTGTCACTTCCGAAGAGAGATCAGAACAGCCAGCAACAAGCAGAACTGAAGAAAATATTGCAAAAGTTCACCAAATTGTGTGTGAAAATCATCGGCTTGGCATGAGGAAGGTGTGTGCAAAAAAATTCTGAGGGTAAAGGGCAAATGTAAACTTCAAGAACTTATTTGAATAATATAACCTCTTTTATATGTATAAATTCCACACGGCATACTCTTTTGAAGCATCATAAATATCAAATAAAATATGAGATATAAACGTATTATCATTGTCATTCATTTATCATGGATTAGGTTGTATGGTTGTTCCAATTAAAAATTAATTTTGAAACAATGAATCTGCATAGGTGGGTGGACAATATTAAAATGGATCTTAGATAGGATGGGATGGTACAGATTGGATTGATCTGGTTCAGGACAGAGACCAGTGGAGTGCTCTTGTGAACACAGTAATGAACCTTTGGGTTCCATAAAATGCTTGGGAAATTCTCGAGTAGCTGCAGATTTGGCGGCTCCTCAAGAAGGGTTCAGCTCCATAAGTAAGTAAGTAAGTAATAATGAATCTTTCAGGCATTTGGGGATCAGCCCATTGCAAGGCCTCAGTCTACTCAGGACAACACAACACAGAATGGGATCAACATATATCCATGCCCCAAGCAGTATTCAAACCCATTATTCCAGTGTTTCAGTAGTCCAAGTTCACACACATCTTAGACTGTACTGCCATTGTGATCGTGTGAACCTAGTCGGCCAATTCACCAATTCATGCCTCGGGAGTTAATGACTATACAAATACAAGAAAAATGTTTATAATTAATGTACTTCAAATTGACTCAGCTACAATGGTTATTCAGTCAGTACTGCCAACACAGCAAATATATAAAACCAAGATTTGAACTAACTGAAGGGTAGAAGAAAAAAGAAAATCCGCGAGTGAGGAATCAGTGTGAGCAGGTGCTGACTTGACTCGACATTAGTCTGTCAGCACTTGCTCTCACTGGTTCCTTGCTTGCAGATTTTCTATTTTCTTCTACCCTGAAGATGGAGGCGATACATTCCTTCGAAATGTCTGTTAACACAATATCTACATGACACCACATCCCAGAAGGCAGCTTTCTTCAGTGCTGCTAAAATTTACATCACTGTTTCAAATGAAGGCACTACAAATACAAGTTAAAAAGGCAAAGTTGACCCTGTGCTTAACTACGTGTAATTAAGCACTAGGCCATGAAGACGTACATGGGAGTGAATGTTTACACCCACGTTTTCTTGACCTCGGAACTAGTTGGAGGTGAGTGGTCAGCTTCATGCCCTGACTGTTTTACCCCCAGGGTACCCCTGGTACCCACTGGAAAGGAGGCTGGGTGGGCCCCAGAACCAGTCTGGATGACATGCTGGAGTGAAAATTCTTGCCCTCACCGGGACTCAAACTCTGACCCTGTGGTTCTCCAGACCATAGCCAGTTGCTATACTGACTGCACTATCCCAGCTCAAATACAAGTTAAACACCATATTTAAAATTTCATCTGTTATTGCTTAAATGAAGTACAGGCAGTACATATGACCTTAGAGTAGCTGCTTGTAAAACAGTGTTCCATCAGCTCTGACTCATGCTTGCAACCAAGTAAAAGGTGCAGTAGTAACTAGTACTTATTTTTTCATGGCTTTATGCATTTTTAAGATTTTATGAGTAATTTTTGTTTACAAATTAGGATGGTGTAAATCAGTTCTTCTGATGTTAAGGAATATACCATGTTAAAACTGGACAATTGCTGACAGGAAATGTATCAGAATAGGTCACTCACGGCAGTGGTGCATGGGCCAGTTAAAGCCCACACCTTATTCCTACAGTAAATATATGTGTAAGAGTGAGATATTTATCTGTCCAAAGAACCAGAGAATCACTGTTTTCTTTTCGCACCACTGACTTTCATGACAGTACCCCAAAATTTGCTCACGCTCAAAGGATTCCAATGTCCTGAATTCTCCATCTGCTACTAAAGTTCCTAATATCTGCAAATTTAGTCTGATGTGTATGATGTCTGTTTTTGTTATGAATTTTAATATTTTATAAGGTATACGGCTTGCCAGTGTGTGTGGAATGGCAAGGTGTGAATTTGACAGTGGCTTTTCCCACAACCCATGTGTGTTGTCCTGACAACTTGAGCTATCTGTGTGAGGCCTGATTATATATTTTATTGTACAAAGGTTGAATGATGTGTAGTCATCATGAATTTGTAATATGTGACATGTTTTATATCCAGCCTTATGGGGAGATGATTGGATCCATGAAGTGAAAAATAAATGTAAATGTAGTCTTCAACAAATCCAACGACATGATCCTATCCTACTGTCACATCTCCCTCTCTTTCAACCCTTATTTTTATAAATTTTCTTCCCGTACCAGCTTTACTGCCTGCTCAGATCTTTACCCTACTCATTCAACCATACATAAATGCAACAGTTATAAATGATGATAAACATTCAAATTTACACATTTTCATCAGACTTGTTCCCAAATGTACTGGATAACAATTACTAATTCCTGCATGTGATCCCTCATTACTTGCAAGAATAGTAATTCATCCACTACTAATCACAAAGCCACCTCTCATTTTTCACTCACACTGACATGGACACAATATCAAATTGTGAATAACCCCTCCAACTGAGGGTTTATACATGTTAATCCTTGCTTGGCTTCTTACACAACACAAGATGCAAATAACAAAGACAATAAAGATAAAAATTAACTTATATAACAGTCATATCAAGTTAAATGTATCAAACAAGTTGTTTTATTACATGGCATTAAGCTTACAGAGATGCAGTAATTTAGCACATTATCAAATAATTAATACAGAACAGGCAAGGTCCCTATAATGTCAACATTAAGAATTTCAATTAGAAACGTCATGTGACATACCAGTCAGTGACTCAGCTGAATATAACGGGACAGTTATCACAGCCAATTTTATGAGATCAAGATTTGAAACTAGTTGTATAATTGTAGTCCAAACACCCCAAAAAAATATGCTGATGGGTGAAGGAACAGGAATTCAATTTTGATGGCATAATCAGTGGATAGGAAAAATCAGTGCAAAATATTTAAAATTAATACTGATTACTAAATGTGGGACTGATGAAATGTTTGTAGCCTATTTTTGGGCATTCAACTGGGAACTGAAGATACAAAAAAAAAATCTGGCTCTGATTACAGCTTATACTTCTACTCTATAGATCATGAACAGAAACAACCAATGTCGCCTCTGGTCGGGGCCAGCGCGAGAGAACTGACGACGCTTGGGGGTGGCATATTTTACAAGCCTTCGTTAACATTTAACATTCAGGCAATGCGGGCAAGAAAGGTGTCAAAAACGTTATTTGTTTAGGGCAGCAGATTATCTTACTCAAGCCATACCTCTAGTATATGTGACCTACTCTTTCCCACTTACTCGTGAAACAAATTCTTTGATTTTGGATGAACTGCCCGAGTAAACCCGTATTAATCGATTGAAATAAAATATGTCGTTCTCGCAGCATCCTTTTCCTGATTATTCGTGAAGTCATTACACATAGAATTTCTTCAATCTGTCATTTCTAATTGAAAACAATTACGTTATTGGCATCAATTATTTTACCGCAATCCATATCTCTTCCATCTAATATTAGAAATTGCAACCACTACTCACGCTAGTCAATATCACCTAGGTATTTCATGTACAGTAAGAACAACGTTGCAGCGAAAGCAAACATATAAAAAAACTGTACATATAAGGGGAAATTCTTTTAGTAATGCAAGTGTTAAGGTATATAATCAAATATACATATATAATATATGTAACATATCTAGGTCTTCACTTGAACTGTTAATTCCCGTGTTAGTGACGGCTGCTGCCATCGTGTTTTAAAGTAGAAAGTGTTGAAATAACGCATGCCGATCTGATATACAAAAAAAATAATTTGCGGAGTTCACTGTTGTGTACAAAACCGTTCAAGATTTCCCATATATTTATCTTCATTTTACTTACCAGTAATACGACGAATGCAAGATGTTTCACAAACCGTTTCGCGTTAAGACTAACACTCAGTTAAAAGGATCAGAAAGGTTGGTATAATCTTTAAAAATTTGTGTGTAAACATTCGTAGTTAGGTTCACTTTAGTTAATTTGAATAACCAACAGATATATACGTTATGTAGGATATTTTGAGATTATGGTTTGTTGCAGTACAACTAAATATTGTCTTGTATTGGATCCCCCAAGCAAATGGGTGCCGAGGTAGGACAGCCATACTGTTCGCCCTGTTCGCTTTGATGTTACCAATGTTACGTTGTCTACGAATATTGATTTGAGTGTGCGGGAGATTTAAATCGTTTGACATGAAATGTCATGTCTCGTGTACGTATTTGGTTGCAAGCATGTCCATTATCTTCTACCCATTACATGTCATACTTCCAAATATGTACATTCAAAAGGGGTTTTGAAGGTGGAAAAAATAAAGTATTTATTTGATATGAAGCAGAAGACTGTACATTTACAATTTAAATAAATCTGCCATTACTAACATGTACTGGAGTAACATATGTAGTTGTCTTGCCATTTTTGTTTCTTGTAGTATTAAAAAGGGAAAAATTATATTTTATGTAGGTATAGTGATTTTGCAGTGTCCTAGTTGTATTACAGAACAGAGTAAGCCAAGACAGCAAGAAGCAAGCACAATGGAACTGCCACATTCTTTGACCCAGAAAGTGGAGACAGTAACTTTCCTCAAAAATGTCAGTAACCAACTAACTCCATGGAGCTGAACCGTTCTTCAGAAATTTAACATCAAATCTGCCATGTACATGCCATTCTTTATTGTGCTGTTTTATCATCATGGCAAGATGGACACAGACTCTGGTAACAGACTACAAATGCCAAAACCTTCCATTCCTTATCACGTGTGGGTATTCCTGCAGAGTATGTCAAATGGTAAGGGAGATATCATAGTGGTGCTGGGTCATGTCTTAATAGATGACCACATGGAAGATGAGTGCAACGAATCCTGCATCACATCATGGTAACCTCAGCCCTAATGGAGCTGTGGGACGAATGCCACACCTGTATGCACAGATTCATCACTTGTAGTTGGTTGCCTCAGTCTGTGTTCATCTTGCCATGATAGCAGACAGCACATTAAAGAAAGTCATGGACATTGCAGGTCTGGTGTTAAATCTGTGAACAGATCAGCGTCTTTAGTGGCAGTGTTGGCAGCCTCATTCCCTGACAGACGTGTGTTGAACTTGCAGAATTTANAAAAAAATGGTGTGTAGCGTTATGAAAGGTATTAAGTTGCCCAAGTCATAATAACACCTGGTTCGCATATCAAGGTATTTTAATTTGTGGGCCATCTTGCTTGTGTCTCACATTTGGTATAATAGCTCATGTCATCTGCTATTGTGAACATTGGGTTGGCTGTTATGATATTATTTTAGTGAAATTCTTTTGTATGCACTGATGTTTGTCTTACTGTTGCATTTAGGGTGGTGGTGTATCTTTTTTTTTTTGTGTGTGTTTCTTTTGCAGTTTTTGTTGTTACTTTATAATCTGAAGCATGTAAATTTGTAATTATATTTCCTGTTAACCTTGCCTTGGCATACACTAACTGTTTGAGCTGTGTGTTACGTGTTATTGAGTCTCTTGCCCCTCTGTGGTTCTGAACTGTCAAATGAAGAGGCAATAGAAATGTACAGTGAAATCAAAGAACAGTTCAAGCCCTCCTGTACGGGTCTTGATTTTAAAAGTTCGTGGCAATTCATTAAAGGGAACTGATGCAACCTTAAAGGCATTCGATGGAACGATCCCCATGTTGAAAGTAGTAGTATGCTTTGTAGAGGTGTTCAGATGGAGGTAGCCACCTACAAATGTCTTTGTGAGAAGAAGAAACAAGTCTTCTCTTCAGTTTTGTTGTACAGTTTCTTCAAGAAAGTGCAGGACAGCACATACTCTGTGGCATCCACTTTTCAAGTATCAGCAAAGCATTCTGCAAATAGCCCTGTCGACTCAAATAATTCTTCCCTGATTTGCTTGAGAATCTATCATACGTCTTAAAAAGCATGAGGCGCATGGTATGTGACAAATTTATTGTAATAAAATTAAAAATTTGATTACAAATTTTGCAATTTCTTATCTCCTTTATATGAAGAAAATTTGACAGAGGAAAGCATTAATAAATGTAACATTGTTTCTTGAGAAAAAATAAATTTGGCTTATGAAGATTTAGCTTATGATTTCATTGAAAGGTACACATTATGTTTGTAGATTGAGGTAGTACACCGGTATATAGTGCAGAGGTAAATAATGCATCATACTGTACCTGATGTGCTTTTTATTATCTAATATTTTAATATTGTATAACTTCTTTGTTATGAAATGCAACTGTATGAAGCTTCCACATATTAATCTGTACACTTGGGAAATTTATTACACTGAAACTCTCTCTCTGGATGCAGTGGGTTGACTGTGGTAGGCCTTAGATTCTCTTGAGGCTCAAAATCAGACATATTGCTTGCTGATGTAACCCTTCAAGTGGAAGTGTGACATTCAAGACACCCAGCAATAGTCCATACTGGCTCACAAAAGCATATATATGTCTTGCTGTTCCATCCTGTGACTGACAGACTCAACAGCATTTTGTACAGAAACCATGACAAGTTGTCGTGACAGATTTACCATGCAGAACTGGTTGAGAACCAATCTGTTGCACTAAACATCACATACTTTTTCTTTTACTTCTTATTATTATCCATATTTTCTATAATAATAACACCAACAATAACAAAAACAATAATGTGACATTAAATATGATTTTCTTCTCCCCTAGAAAGCGACTTAGACAAGAAGCAATGAAACAGTTTCCTCAGCTCTCCGAGAGTGACCTACAAGTTCTGTTCCCTCCAAAGGAAGTGATGAGTGCAATAAAAATTATTACTAATGGGGGTGATTTGGGGATTGTGTACTGTGTTCAGAAACTACCTCTAATCTTTGAACTCGAGCAGAAAATGTATCCAACTGTATATATGTTGTGGTCCTTTCCTAGTATCTTGCCATCGTTCACAATATGGCCTCAAGTTTATGACAGACTTTCTGCAGGTGCAGACCTCATGCTGCCAGGAATAGTTCTGAAGGGACAATTACATGTCAAAGCTTATGGAAATTTGCAGAAAGGGGAGGCAGTTGCAGTAAATATGACAACAAATAAGGCTCCAGTTGCTGTTGGGCTGACAGCATTGTCAAGTTTTGACATGTATATGGCTGCACAGCGTGGCAAAGCAGTGAAAATTTTGCACCTTGTTGGAGATGAACTGTGGTCATATGGTACTAAACTCACAATACCTGAATTAGGACCTCCCCCTGGTTATGAGGTTGAGGTGGATGTTACTTCAGCAGCAGTAGGTGATAATGTTCCTGCAGGAACTGAATCTACAAGGAGGGTGGAAAGTGATTCAGTGAGTGAAAGTGCCATGCTAATTCTACCAGGTGACTTAGAGGGAAATGCAGTTGAAAGTTTATGTGACAATACTACAGACCTGGTTTTGAATGTCATTGCTGCAGATAAATCAGAAGACCTTCACGTGCAGGAAGTCCAGGAATGTGTTGGAACTCCTGAAGAGGACACTGATACTGAAGAACCCTCTGAGCTAGATGTAAACCCTCAAGAAAGTATGGACAAATTGCTGGAATACTGCTTTTTGAAAGCGTGGAAGACTACTGCTAAAAAAGTTGAATTTCCATTATTAACAAGTAATTTTTACAAGTTACATATGATACCAGCTTGTCCTTCAGGAAAACAACTGGATTTAAAAAGGTCAAGTTACAAAAAACTGTCAAAGTTCCTGAGCGCAATGGAGAGCTTAGATATAGTAACAGTGAGGGAACTAACGAAAGGTGTTGAAAGTATTATGGGAATAAACCCAAATCATGTGATGTTACGGGAGTTTGTAGACACAGAAAAACCGCCAGAGTGTGTGGGGCAGATGTCTGAATTGTCTACCATGGCTGTGAAACCAGCAATTGTTGAGCTGTATATTGTAACCCATGCAGTGCTGCCACTCTTTTCTAATACTGGACTCAGGTATGTGATATATCCATATTTAAATTCAGTGTAAAACATCTTTGAGGATAATGGCCATGTAGTGGTGTAGGGCATTACATTATTATTAGAAAGTTACATTACATCATAACACAAATTTGAAACTGTAATTTTACCAGCCAGGCATCACATGACTATTAGAATGGATCTTACTTAGAGAGATAGGATTGGATGGGATGGATTGGATAGATCTGGCTCAGGATAGGGACCAGTGGAGGGCTCTTGTGAACACGGTGATGAACCTTAGGGTTCCATAAAATGCTGGGAAATTCTTGAGTAGCTGCAGAATTGGCGGCTCCTCCAGAAGGGCTCAGCTCTGTGAGTGAGTGAGTGAGTGAGTGAGTGAGTAAGTAAGTAAGTAAGTAAGTAAGTAAGTAAGGCATCATATATGTATATTCAGTCTTTAGACCTCATGATAACAGAAGAGTAAACCTGTTGATTGGAGAGAATGTGAAGTGTTTTACATTATGCAGACACAATGTGGTGAACCACTTAAGCCATGCTCAACTAAAGACAATTTGAAATTCCAAGGTAAATCAAGTGCACATATTGTTCTTATTACAGGAAAGGGGCCAGCTTAACAGTGGCAGATGTTCGCAAACATGTTACAGATTATGTCAAGAAAGAAAAGTTGCAAGATCCTATGAACAAAAAGTGAGTACAGTCAGCTTTTCATGTTCATACCTTGCCAAGATGTTTCGCTCTCACTATATACAAATTAACTCTGGCAGGGGCATTTAGAATAGTAAAATGGACAGTTTTCCTTATATTTGTGCTGTACACTCTTCATTGTCACATCTAAGGGAAAAGACGGGAAGCACAAGTAACCAGAGAATCCAAAATTACCTTATTTTTAACCGTCACACTTCGATGTTAACAGCTAATGCTAGTTGTATGAACATGGTTAGTGATTTTCGGTACATTATAGTGTCATGAGGGTGGGAAAATGATTTAATCTCCCCCACCCTCCTCAGCTGCCTCACATTCTAGCACAAAGCACAGTTGCACAAACACATAATTATATTATGACAAATATGACCGTTGCTAGACAACAGTTCAATAAACACATTCCCAAGGTTATGCAGTCAACAATGGGATCTCTGTTGCTGGGTAGCAGGTTGCTAGACATGTTTCATAGCAACTGACAAAACACAAATATAAGAGAGTAGTAAACAAATTGTTGGAGTTGGTGATCTGTATTCGGTTCACCTGGAAGTTAAGTTCAGGAGAGTTCACTCTTAAGTGAGTCATAAGGGAGCCATCATTTGAGAGTTTACTTCAATTCAAGAGAGTTCAGTGATTCAGTCATAAGAGAATTCAAAAGTTGAATGTTCAGCTGTGGAGTGTTAATCAGCGGACAACGGAAGCTGAAGAAGTGACCGATTTGTAAATCAGAACCAAGTCAGTCACACAGAAGATAATACACTCATGGTCCAGTAAGGAATGGAGCAAGTCTGACACAGCCATGGATTCTGAGCTCATATAATTGATTGTAATTAAGAGTGATTGTAGTAGAAGTGCCAATAAAGCCAATCATCCAATCCAGAACCCATTATTATTAGTCACGCAAACCCCTCATACATGACAGTATGATTAGAGTAGAGATGGAAGTGTCTTTCACATCTGTGTATTCATGTAAACCTTTTGCGGCTTAAAAAAGCGATAACTGAAAGGAAAATAATGTACACGGAAATCTACAAACTGCATATTCTGCTTATTCTTAAAGAAGACTATTCCGTAATTATCAGATTTTTGCACAGGACAAATTGAACTCAGTGTATAAATAATCATTAACATTTGGAAAAGCATGTTTATAATCATGTCAGTTTCCCTGTATATTTCATATGCACTGTACTTCCTGTATGTTCAGAGTCTTAATATTTCACGAGCATTCTCAGTCAATTGGTTAAGTAGCCAAAAATATTTATTTTTTTAAGCAGAAGCTGTAACAACTAAACATCTGTATAATGCCATGAAAAATTCTTTATGCTGTGACTTACAGATGGGTATGCCCATGTGAGTCATCTATATCAGATCAAGCATTGTCATCATCCTTGTCCTTGTCACCAATTTTAATGATTTTTATTTTACAGGTAGTTATCCATAAAGAAAAAGTTTCCCCAATGTTAGTTGTTTACAGTTAATAGTTCTGTTGAGGCATTATGCTGTAAGCCAGAAGGTTGTGGGTTAAATTCCTGATGAGGTCATTGTATTTTTCTACCAACCTAATCCTTCCAGCTGTGCTATGGCCCTGGGCTTAAATCAGCTTCTAACAGAAATGAGTACCAGGAATCTTCCTGGGTGTGAAGGTGCAGCTGACGTGAAAGTCTAAACCTCACTGCAATCTGTGAGCCGAGTGCCTAGAAAATGTGGGAGCCTTGACATCTCACAACCCTGTGGGCCTCCATGGCCTGTTTCAGGGATAGCTTTACTTTGCTTTTACATACCTGGATATTAATTAATGAGATTAAATACTCTTTAGCATATGGTAGGGCTTTTTCACAAATATGTAAATATTTATTATTTAAAAAGTGAGAAGTATAGAATTCAGTATACAGAATACTGTATTAAAAGGTAAAGTTATCCCTGTGCTTAACTAATTAAGGACTATGCCATAAAAGCATATGGGGGAGTGGATGTATAGATCCACATTTACTTGACCTCTGCACTAGCTGGAGGTGAGTGGTCAGCTTCATGCCCTGGCTGCACTACCCCTGGTACCAATTGGCGAACCCCATAGCTGGTCTGGACAACATGAAGAAGACAAGATTCTTGAGCCCACCAAGACTTGATCTCTGACCCCTTGGCTGTCGAGCCCATAGGTAATCACTGTACCAACTGCACTATCCCAGCTCCTGAAGACTCTATTATAAGATAGTAATTTAAACAAATTTGACTTTCAACAAAGTAAAAAAAAAATTTAAAATGCGTGGGAACATCCCACATAGTAACATGTAGTTTCGCCGGTCTAACAGACAGTACTCACTCCTTGTGATCAGAGTCATCAGCTCTTCCCTGCGCCAAAGATAGCTGCTGCAACACTCCAGCAACCGCACTCTGCTACCAGATAGCTAACATAGCTGCCCAACTCTCCAGCAACCTCACTCTGCGACTAGGCAGCTGTTCCTATCGGTGCACACAGCACCACATCACTGGCCGGACAAACCAGCTGAACCGCTGTAAAGCTTTGATCTACTACAAAGGAGCAAATTCTGCCAGCGCACTCATGGTGGAACAAAGTGCCCTTTTCAGGGCCAACCAACTTTTGACATGCCACATAGCTTCGCAGCTATTCTGTACATTCAGTTTATACAATTTAATATATACAATTGTTATGGATTTACACTGTTGTCTTTAAGAACATCAACAATCCCACATATGGAAGCAGGAAACTTGTCCTCGTAATAGATAAGAGTAAATGAAACATCTTTATAAATTATAAATTATAAATATAATTATATATAAATTATAAATCAGTGAAACCACAGTGTAAGCACAATATTACGAGAGTTTATAGAACTAAAAAAAAGAAAGAGAGAAATGCTTCTTCTAATGGGTACTCATAATTCCAAAAATGGTTGAAATGTATAAGAACAAGTCCATCCCGTAACATGCAATTACGTATAATACAATTTGGCTTGAAGATTTGAATGAGAATGCAGACGCAGCAAGCTTTATGGACTGCTAGTGAAAAAGAAATTTGGAAAAGAACTGAAAGTGCAGTGGTGCAAAAGTTAAGGGAAAACTGTTGTGTTTGGTAGGAAATTAATTGTTATGATGTAGATGCAGGTCAAAATAAAAAAAAA